TAGGCTATGCTATGCTATGCTGCGCTATGCTATGCTGTGCTATGCTATGCTATGCTATGCTATGCTATGCTTTTGCTTTGCCTTCGCTTTTGCCTTCACTTTTGCCTTTGCTTCTGCTTTTGCTTGACACTCAGGGAGCGCAACTGGGGGAACCGCGCGTTTGCTTTTACCCTTGCTGTTGCTTTTGCTTGGCTCCCAGGGGACTGGGGGAACCGCCCGGGGCGGTTTCCACTGCCCGGTCCCTTTAAGCCAACAGAGTAAGAACCCTTCTAGGCAGAGCCTAGGTAAGGAAAAAACGCCAGACAGAAAAGAAGCTGCCCAGCTCGGGGTCGGGATCGCCAGTGGGGCCTCGCCCCAGGAGGTGGTCGCCGGAGCCCCGCAGCGCCACCATGTACTCCTGCGAGTGGGGGGGGGAGTTGGCGAACGCTGCCGCCGAGGGGGACTGGGCCGAGGGCTAAAAAGGCGAGAATCGAGGACCGAAGACAGACTGACTGTTGTGCGCTTTCGATCCTGGTCGGGCCTCCTGGAACGCCCTTGCGGCCACGGCTTGACGCAGCTCGGAAAACTGCTTCAGGTTTCTGAATATATACGTGGCCCTCGGGGCCCTCCTCCCTGCCATGGACCGGTTGTCGTCCTGGATCGATGAGCGATAATCCTGGAGCCCATCAAGATTGTCCTCGGAACCCGACAATTGACAGAAAAGTTCACCTTGATTTGCACAGACGTCGGAGGAGCCAGCGGCAGAAGCGCAACCATTTAAATGACCTTGTCGGAGTCTGAGGAGTAGGACGACGCCAAGAAATTCTACACCTGCACCGATCCTGGCCAGGCCCACCCTTGGAGAAGGACCATTGCATACATCTTGGGCCAGGGATCGGCGCATACCCTCCCCTGGCTTGGCCAGAAGGGCATATACACCGACTGCTTGCCCAAGACGGGCCTGGCCAGGATCGACGCAGGTGTATCGTTAGCGGCCTCCGAAATACAATATTCACACGAAACGGAGTGAACATAACATGTTGGAGATCTTGAGAGTTTCTGGGGTCGGAGCTGGCTCTCTCTCTCTCTCTCTCATATTTGGCGCGAAGAGCGTACCAGGTCGGCGCCGAAGGCGCCTCCAAGGAGGGCCCAACACCGACACGAGACATCCGCGCGGATCTTCGAAAATACATGTTGCACACATTTAGAAACACACATATACATATGTATGCAATGACCCGCGAGGCCGCCAGCGGACCCCAAAGAGGCCCCTAAGAGGCCCCAAGGGGGCCCCGAAAGGCCCCGAAGAGGCGCCCAGGAGGCCCCAAGGGGCCCCCGAGAAGGCCCCGAAGAGGCTCCCAAGAGCCCCAAAAACCGCCTCCAAGAGGCCCCTGAGAGGCCTCCGAAAGGACACGAAGAAGCCGCCCCATGGGACCCCTTGTCCACGACCCAGGCACGGTTGCACGCTGTGCCAGGCCAAGAAATACCCAGATGCATATGTACATACAAAAACATACATGCATGCAACCATGTCTTAGTTATATAGATGTGTATATACACATGAATAAGTATATGTATGTGTGTACGTGTGCAAAGATCGATGACTAGGTATATAAGTGTAATTGTGTATAAACACAGATGTGTGAACGAACAGCTGCAATCCATGACTATGAAATACTTATATATATGTTTTATGTCTATACATGTACTAAACCAATCGCTCGCGCTCAAGTTCTTCTTGTCATGGAGCCAAGCGTCTGGCGCTTCAGAGGAGCCGTATCCAGATGATCGGGTCATTGGCTTGGAAACGCACGCCCGGGTGTCTGAAGTCGCCTTGAGGCTTTGCCTTCGCGCCAGTCATGGGCTATCATTGGGCAGCATTGCAACTCTCTTCGGGACCACTTGAGCCTCCGAGGCCATCTTGGAGCCACGCGTTGACAAGAAATGGGGACTCCCCCGAAAAAAAATTAGCCTGGCGAAAGACCCAACCATATGCAGTGATGAATACCGCAAATATGAATATCGTGTTCGGTGTCGCTACCTCTGGGTGGGGGAGACGCATGCGAACGCCCCCATTGGGGCCTTCGGTGAAGCTCCCTATGGGGCTACGAAACGCTGCCCTGGGTGGGGGAACCGCATGCGGGCACCCCCACTGGGGCCTTCGGTGGAGCTCCCTATGGGGCCACGAAACGCTGCCCTGGGTGGGGGAACCGCATGCGGGCACCCCCACTGGTGGATAAGCTGCGGGGGCTCGGAAAGTGCCCCGATCGCTGTTGACTCCGATGTTTCCGCCCCATGTCCCAGAGGCAATCTCACCCGCCCCCCAAGGTTAAAAAAAAACGTCTAAGCGCCAGAAAGTAATCAAAAAACCAACGGTCGTACCAACATTTTAAAAACGTCGTTCGCAAAATGAATAAGCCCGCGTTGGTTGGGGCATCGAGCGCGGAGGCGCCTATCGGCGAAAAGCATTGGCAGCGACGACGGGGCGCGCGCGCCATTGCTTGTGTTCCCGACGGGGGGAGACGACCGAGGGCGCGGCACGCGCGGGCTGTGGGCTCGCATGATTCGCGCACCTCGTCTGCAGCGACGCCAGCGCCATCGGAAAACTGCGGTTTTATTGGAGCGACGTCGGGATGCGACGAACGCGCGGCCCCGCGTGGCGCCGCTGCGCGCGCAGGTTGTTTACGACGTTTTACTTAGGCCGCCCGTCATCGGGATCCGATGCGGCGCGACATGTTCGCGCGAAATTTCGGCGCCGTTGCCGAGCGACGGCCGCGGGGGGCAGACCCGACGAACGCACGGAGCATGCTGGGAACATATCCTGCTGCTCGGCTGAGAGTAACCATATATAACATATACGACCACATATCGGGTGATAGTGAGATTGTCGGGGAAAAAACAACTGAGGGCAACTGCGATTATTGTGATGGTGACGATAAAGGTGATGCGCTCACGAGTTGGGTAAAACAAACGCTTAGTGATCTCACAATCGCCCTTACAATCGATACCACTATCGATCTCGCGACCGATCGTAGTATGAAAAGAACCATCGAGCTACCGATCGACCCCGCGATCGGTCGCACAATCGATCTCGCTATCGCTCTCGCTTTCAATATCGTTATCGATACCGCTACCGATCTAAGTTGCGACCGTCCTCACAATCGATAACGCTATCAATATCACCCGACTCATATCACACTCGATCACACAATCGATTCCACGGTCGACGCCATTACCGATCTTCTTGCAGCCCATCTCACGATCGGTCTCACTATCGATCGCACGATCTGCCTCAATATCAGTATCACGTTCGATCCCCTACCCCCTTAGCGATCTCAATAAAGACCTCACTATCGATCTCACTCTATCGCTATCGATATCCCTCTATCGATCCTCTGTCGACTTCACTCGGTCTGTCTCAATCGATCGATCTCACCATCGATCTCACCGTCGATCTCGCCGTATATTTCACGGTCGATCTCACTATCGATCCCATTATCGATCGCACCATCGATCGCGCCATCGACCCCATTATCAATATCATTCGACCGATCGCAGATTCGACCTCATTATCATTATCGACCTCGCATCGCACAGTCGACCTGACAATTGGTCCTACAACCGATCTCACTATGAATCGATCCCAACGCCTCCCGAACTAACGACCTCACGACCGACCTGAAGATCGTTATCACTATCGATGTCGGGCCTAAGGTTTACAGCAACACCGAACAAGCGAGACGAGCGGCTCGACCATCGCAAGTCGGACCGTAACCGACACAATCGACATGCCATATCTAACACCGCAACCTCGTCTCATCCCCCTCTTCCTCCTCCTAATCACCAGCATCATCCCCCCCATCCTCCTCATCCACTATCAGCCTCATCCTTCCTCCCCTTCCTCCTCTCCGCACCCCCCTCCTCATCATCATCCTCTCCCTCCTCCTCCTCATTGCCCTCCTCGCCATCGGCCATCCGAGCACCCCCCCCCTCTCCGACTCGTTCGACCCCCTCCCCTTCCCCCCGCCCAGTGGGAGCCCCCAGGACCCCGATGGGTCTCCGCACCGAAGCGCGGAAACATCGGGTGTCTGGGTTGCCCTCCCCCACCAAGGGCGACGGAAGTGCGGAAGGGCCGAACGACTCGGCGGCGGCAGCGGCGAGAAAACCGCGAGTCGATCGGCAGCCCGCCCTCCCCCCCCCCCCGCGACGGGGATTCCCCGTTGCCCGACCCATGGCTCACCACTCCGAGAGGCGGGGTTCGGGGCGCAGGGAACCCGCCCGACGAGGGGACGGGGCGGGCGGTCGATCGACTCGGCGGCGGCGGCGGCATCGCGGCTTGTCGAGGCGACGCCGCGCGCCAGGGCGACGACGACGACGACGACGACGACGACGGCGACGACGACGGGCGACGACGGCGACGACGACGACGGCGGCGACGACGACCCTCCACGGGGGGGCGCGGCGACGACGACTCGGCGACGACGACGGCCACGACGACGACGACGACGACGACGACGACGCCCGACGATCGACAATCGACGACGACGACGACGACGACGACGACGACGACGACGACGACGAGGGCGACGCCACGCGCCAGGGCGACGACGACGACGACGACCGATCGACGACGACGACGGCTCCGACGACGACGATCGACGAGGACGACGACGACCACGACCGACGACGACGACGACGACGACGACGATGAGAGGATCCTGAGGCTCATCCTCCATCCTCCAGCGCACACGCACGCACACACACACACACACACACCACGAACCACACATCATACTCGAAACCTCCCATGCCTCCTCCTCCTCCCCCAGGGCGACGACGACGACGACGACGACGGACGACGACGGCGGGCGACGACGGCGGACGACGACCGCAGTGGCCAGCGGCAGCAACGCGGCCGCGCCTGCGCGCGCCCTCACGTCCTCACGACGACGACCGACGACGACGACGGCGACGACGACGACGACTACGCTCGACGACGACGGCGACGACGACGACGACGACGACCCCGCATACACGGCGGCTCGACTGAGCCAGCAGCCAGCACGATGAGGGAAGACCCAAGCAGAGGGGAGATGCGGAAGAGGAAGATGACGAGAAAGGAGTAGGACGCAGGTGGAAGGGAACGGATGGCTGCCAGGGGGGAAAGGGCGGTTGAGGCCCTCAGCCTGAGGGCGCAGGGGGAGAAGGGAGTCTACCAGCAAGGGCAAGGAGCGGATGAGGAGAACGAGCCGCTTTCCATAACAGTGCTTGCACTTGAGGCACCGCCCACAGCCTGGCCACGAACGGGCGAGTGTCCTGACTTTCGGCGGTCCTACTGTGGGGGAGCTCGACCGAGCGCATCGCTCGAGACATCCTCAGTCCTCACAGTCTGCTCATGAGCCCATGGCGCGGCACTGAGGCCCCTAGAAGGCCTTGCAGCTGGAGCCACCATGGGAGACCAGAGAGGCCCAAGCGTAACAATCAGAACCCCACTGTCCTAAACTCAACTGGTCAGCGGCGGAGAGGCGCGATCCACTTGAACCATTCAACTTGAATCCACTGTTTGGCGACCGTTTTCTATGGGCGACGGGTTGCCAGGCAACTCCTCATTGTGCCCACGAGTCCCCTGTCCCTCGCGATGCTCGGCATCGCACTCTGGTTGAGTAGTAGTCGGGCTCGACGAGGCCGTCGTCGGCGGTCGGCGGCCTGGGGCTGGGGCACCGCCTACTTGGAGGCGAACGCCTGGGTGGCCGACACCCTCGGTTTCTTCTGAGGGGTCACGAAACCGATGTCGGTGAAGAAGCGCTCGTCCGTGTCCAGGTGGCACAGCTGGCGGCGAAGGGGTAGGTCAGCGTAGGTCTCGTCGGTGGCGCCGTCCTTGATGATCAGGTCGAGGTGCGGCACGTTGTAGCTGAAGGTGAACTTGTGGCCCATGGAAGAGATCTCCGTTGACCACTTGGAGCTCACGACCTCGTGCGTGGCGACCTCGTCCTCGATCTTCTTGGCGCCCTTCTTGCGCTTCTTGGTGCTGGCCTGCTCCTCAACGTTCTCATCCTGCCTGGGCTGCACCTTGATCGGCTTCACGAGCCAGCCGATGCACAGGTCGGACTTCCCATACTGCTGCACAGCAGTGCCGTCCACGAAGAGGCCCAGGCCGTGCGAGCTGCCCAGGTACATGACGTTGTTGCGATTCAAATTCTGGGCGACCTCGGTCGTGACCACCCGCCGCCATATGTTGAGGCGGGTCGCGACCTTCCCAGTCTGCGCGAGGTCGCCGAGAGTGATCCCGCCCGCCTTCGCGGCCGCCACATTGACGCTGATCCTGTCCAATCCATTTCCATGTGCACTCGTGCCGCCCATCGCTGTGTCGATGAAGTGCTGGGTCAGCCGAGTCACCTCAGAACGGTTCTGAGGTGGCTCGGTCGTCGTCGTCGTCGTCGTCCGTCGTCGTCGTCATCGTCGTCGTCGTCGTCAGGCGAAGGGGGGGAAGGGGGGGAACGGTAGCGAACGCAAGCGCCCGACTATCCTGGGAATCCTGGGAATCCTGGGGATCCTGGCCCGAAGCGCGACCGATAGCGGGTGCTAAGCTGATCGCAACAGCTTTCGTCACGATTGTGATAAGTCCGATGGCATCCTTCTTGTGCACGATGGTAGTCACACTGTCCTCGCCGCCCTCCTCGTGCAAAGACGCCATCCAGAGCTTCTCGGGGGCGCTGGGCTCGAGATCAGACTTCGCCCCGCCGGTGTTCGTCTTCACGCCATCCTCGAGCGCTGCCGCGAGCGTCGTCGTCACCTCGGGCGGCGGCGGCTTCACTCGGTCCATTACTCTGCTCCCGACCAGCTGCGGGCACTCGACGGGCTCGCGCAAGCGCTCTGCCAAGATGTGGTTTGGATTCGCCTTCCCGACGACAGCGTTGCAGAGGCTATCCAGTGCGCTCATCTTCTGGGCGGGGAACATGGTGAGGTTCACCTTCGGCAGCCCTGCGTCCAGGACCTTACCCTCGAGGTCCTTGACGGGGAGCTTGCCGTGGCTGTTCAGGAAGGCGACCTTGTAGGTCGTCGTCGTCGTCGTTGTGGTCGTGGTCGTCGTCGTCTCGCCGTCGTCGTCGTCGTCGTCGTGGACGTCGCCGTCGTCGTCGCCGTCGTCGTGGTCGTCGTTGTCGTCGTCGTCGCTGTCGTCGTCGCATCGTCGCCGCCCCAGGATGACGATGGCGGCCCGCCATCGTCATCCCAGGGATTAAAATCTTACGGAGAACAGGCCCAGTCGGGCCTTCATGTGGCTGAGCTCGCTGGCGGGGTGATCCTTGACGAGCTTCCCGCACGCGATGAGCTCCTCTCCGACCTCGCCGAAGAACTTGATAAGTGACATCGTGGGGTTCGCATCGTAGGCCGCCACGAGCGCACTCGCCGACTGCGAAGAGGCCGTCACGTGCTGCTTGCACTCCGCGAACAGGGCACCCACAACATCATTCACCTCTGGGCTCGCGTACGTGCGGACGTCGTTAGAGCCTCCGCCATTGGGCCACCTGAAAGACATCACACCGATGTTCTTGATCATGTTCAGCGTGTACAGCATGCGCACGTTCTTCAGCAGCATGGCGGTCGCGACCCCCTGGACCTCCTGAAACTTGACGACCGCCTCGCTAGCCGAGGCAACGAACACAGCCTTGGTCGCATCCTGCTTGGCCAGGACATCCAAGTCCTCGGGGGGTAACTCAGTGCACCTTCACGGCGCGCACGCCATGGCCCTCCTGAAGCCTGCCCGAAACCCGTTAAGGACTCGGGAAAGCCCAAGAGGGCTGTCCGACCCCAAGATGGTTCCGATGGTGCAATGCACGTTCACCATTGCATTTAATCTGCGCCCGCCCCGCGAGGGCCCCAGGGGAAGCCCGCTGGGCCCCAGGAGGAGCACTGGCCCTAAAAGGCCGTTGGGCCAGGGCCCTCAAGAGGGACCCAAGAAGCTCCGAGAGCCGAGAGGGCCCTGCGATGGGGGGGTGGGCGGGCAACATGGTTTCGGTGCGACGTAAGGTCGGGCGCCAGGGGTCGAGAACCAGACCCTGCATCACGCGCCCTGGGAAGCGCCGAGAAAGTTCCAAGAGGGCTCCAGGAGAGCCCGCGAGGTCCCGCGAGGGCCCCTAGGGAGCCCAAGAAGGGCCCCAGAGACCCAGGAAGCTGACAGCAAGCCTCGCGGGGCCCCCAGATGGCCCCAGCGGGCGCTTTCCTTGGTCATCATGGGTCCTTGAGCTTGCAGCCACACTGGGCCTTGGGACCACCCATCCTGGACGATGTTCAGCTCGCGGTTGGAATAAATCGCCTCGGCCTCGGCGGCCGCGACCTTCGCGATGACCCCCATCACGGCGGCCTCGGTGATCGCGCTGGCGTCGAGCGAGTTCACCTCATTCATCGTCGTCATCATGGCCTGGCTGACGCCCTTCGCGGCGACCATGTGACCCACGATGTCAATCTTGGGCGAGTTATGCTTCAGAGTCTCGGACGTCTTATCCATGGCCGAGATCACCTTCTCCGACTTCAGCATAGAGATCGCGTCACCTTCGGACCACTTCGTCAGGTCGCGCGCCTCGGTGGCACTGCCGAGCACGTTGCAAGGGCCCTCGTTGTCGCCGTCCGAAAGAAGGTCGGGGTCGTCGGAAGGGAGCAGCACCGAACACTTCGCAAAGGCGTACTTCTTCAAGCACTCGCGCAGGCTCGACCAGCCTGAGATGGTCTTGAGCGAGCCCTTGATCGTCAACTTGATGCTGCCACTTAGGGACGCGACCAGGCAGATGCTGTAGAGCATGTGAACCTCCTCCGACGGCATGCGAAGCATCTCCTCGAACTGCTGGCACAACTTCACGGCATGGCCCTCGATGGAGTCACCGTTGCACACGTCCTCTGGGAGCACGTATGTGGGCTTGGCCTTCTTCTTGCTGGCGCCAGCCTTCGGCTTGGCGACGGCGTTGCCCTTCGCGATCGCTTTCTCCTCTGCCTTCTGGCCCTCTCGAGCTCCTTGTGCGCCTTGTTCACTGCCTCATCGAGCTCGGAGGCGATGTCCTTCGCGACGTTGTCGTTCAGCATCCCCGCGACCAGCTGCTTCAAGGCGCCCTCGTCCAGCTTCGAGATCACGGGGAAGCCCGCGGACGGCAGGGAGCAGCACTGGCGCTTGCTCGCCATGACGGGCAACAGGAGCATCAAGATGTCGAGGCACAGCTGCGGCCTGGTCCACCCGAACACCTTGAGAACCATGGCGTTGTCCTTCCAGAGTTGAGGGAGCTTCACCACGTGGCCCATGGCCTTAAAGTCGACCGACTCCTCAGGCAGGAGGCCGAGCAGCCGGCGCCGTCCCCCCACCCCCACCCCCACCCTCGCTCATTATTCCCTCCTCTCTCCTCCCTCATCCCTCCTCCCTCATACCCCCCCCCCTCCCCCCTCCCTCCCTCTTCCCCCCCCCTCCTCAGCTAGGCGCATTGGCTGATCAGCCCCCCGCGCTCCTGGCACCGAGCGTTGTAGGCGTCCCACAAGCTCACCTGGCACTGGCGGTTGGGCATCATGATCTTCTTGGCGTCGCGGTAGAAGGCCCAGCACTTCTCGAACTCGCCGATGCTGAGCCACCTGTCCTTGTGCATGGTCTGGAGGTGCTTGACTTTCTCCGCCTCGTAAGCCCCCTGCCCCAATGACTTGACTGTCCAGTTCCTCCCGTCCTGGGAGTAGCGACTCCATGATGATTGGGCATGGTTCGTGGACCTGTAGATCTGTAGAAAGGTCGTGGCCTGGACATCCTCGTTCACGTCGTTACCGAGCCCGACTAGATAACGGATCCCCCATGACGGCGCGTCGTGGCGATAGACTTTGCAATACGCTAGCCCTTCCTGGATCGAGCGCCGCACGTTCACGTTGGAGGCGTTCTTGGGCTCCATGTACGCAGCCTTCCCGCCCTCCATGAGCGTGGCGAAGTGCAGCCAAAAATAGTTGGTGTCTGGCTTGAGGTTCAACGTGTTCTCCTGTGGTCGGACCCAGGCCCCAGCCCGAATGTCCGAGCACAGCCCATGCTCCTCCCAGCTCCGCTTCTTGTCCAGGATGGACGACTCGCCCCCCCTGTCGCTCAGCGCCTCCCGCTCGCGCAGCCACACCCCATCGTGCACGAACTTGAGGGTGACGCCCCCAGCAATCAGCCACATCAAGTCGGCGGCGCGCTGGAGCTCTGCCCCCGTGAGCTCGGGGATCACGTCGTGGATCGTCTCGAACTCCTCG